GCCAACCAAAGCTAAAGAACCCAGTCTGTCCTGCTATTCAACCCATAGCTGGGGGGAAGAGATGGATTCTTATCTTTCCCAATGGTATTTGTGCGTAATTGAATCTAACGAACTCGACTGGAATTCGATCTCCAAGTTCTCACTTAAACCATAACGCACATTCAAGCTGTAAAAGGACAATTAATAAAAATGACGATCTCCTTGGTTCCGATGATACTCGTTAACTAGGGTGGCTAGTTAATCCCTGTCCGAAAACAGCCCCATTTGTGTTTCTTCAATACCCACTGAACCAACATGTGGCTTATACTGCAACTATGCAGTATCCTTAAGAGTTTATGGGAGAGACTGCCCAATCCAGTATGATTAGTACTTGAACAATGCTTCTACGCTACGTACAAATCCTCTGTCACAATGATTTGTGACTTTGTGCGAGCACAATCATCAACTGTTTCCAAAGTGTTTCGTCTACCCAATTTAATTCACAAAGCATAGGTTAACCAGTGATATAGTTTTTAAGCACTGCACAAGAGTGTCGCACGCTGGGGTCACCTCCCTAGGCTTATATTTCATGAGCCACCTCCTTTTCAAATCGTGATATCCGAATCCAAGTAACATGGAACGCTAACCACTAATCACTCGGTCCGCATAATGCCACAAGTATTAAGAAGATAATTTAATAAAACGCACAGAAACTATTTGGTAAAAGTGAATGTCTTAAGCGGCTCTTCGGGCGATTATCCTCATATCTTTTATTTGTTTTTATTGAAACATTTCATTTGATGTGATTTTCAACCATCTTCAGACATGTTTTACAACGAATAATCATTCAGTAACTTTACTAGAACAGCGTTGGAATTAATACTGGACGACACTCAAATAATGAACCTAAACTCATTAGCCCCTCCTCTTACTATTACTACTAGGGTTACTCTTAAAACTTATGTTTTTTCTCGTTCATATTATCCAATAGTGAATGGATTCAGTGATGTAAGATGTTATAAGTTTTTTTTTTTTTTTTTTACTCTCGAATAATTTGAAAAGTGTATATTCAACATGAAACAACCACAGAAGACAAAAAAATAGTTTTCAATCATTGAATGGGTTATTCAACTGCAGCGTTCTTTGCGTATGAGGTCTTCTGAAATCTTGTATTACGACGATTATAACCCGGTCCGTCAGTATTTTTCCAAACTTTATTCGAAGATCGGCCAAAATTCTATTTTACTCTCTCTCTCTCTCTTTCCCTCCTTACTTCGTTCTCTGAATTGTTTTTCTAAACATGGACTCAAAATTTTCTGCTGGCTAATCACATTATCTTCGTTGAATGTCCAAAATGTATTTGCAAGCAATGGTTGTGGCGAGGACGAGCTGATTTACATGAGCCAACGAAAGATACAAGTTGGATATTTTTTCTCCAAATATAGTTTTGGAAATGACAATTTACTTATATACTCTTATATACTCTTGTATAAGTCGAGTTCTAAGAACGAAATTTTAAGACCGATGCTGAAGTTTGACCTACACATGAGAAATGGGTTTCTAGGTTGACACTGGATACAAAAGAACGAACCCGGGGGAATTTTTAACTTCAAACACAACAAATACAGGTTCATTTCGCTATCTGGAAGTGGAGCATTCCATGGAATCTACTCTTAAGCTGAAAAGGCACCTCGGCGTGGGATATTTTCGTATCAGTTAATACTCACCAGTCCTATTTGTCTTTTTTTCGGTGAACCAGAGTATACGATTTTTCAGCACTAGTAGAACCATTGGTTGAACTCACAACAGCCGTTAAATCAATTCTGACATGTGAATAAAACTGGTGTGTATTAATCGAAATGAAATATCTAAATAGAAAGCATGGAAAGTGGTAGGTTATTCACCTACAGTCTGCGGACTGAATAAAAGGTAAAGTTCAAAATTCCGTGGTTAGCGAATTTGATGGCAGAAGTCTGAGAAAGGTTGAAGGATAAAACAATCGAATTGTGATAATATTACAGCGTAGGGAATATCACCAAATAATAGTTGAGTAGTAGTAGTTACAATCATAGGCTCACTGAAAAATGATTCCAAAGTCTTTTCATGAGTTTGAAAGGACTGAAGAATTAAAGGTATTTAAACTACATCCGTGTTGAACCGACAAGAAGGTCAACAGAAGTGCAGTAATTTTGGAAGAATGCAGTCACTTGATACCCAACAATGGCTCCCAGATAATAATAATAATAATAATAATAATAATAATAGTAATAATAATAATAATAATACATTAATATAATAATTATAGTAATAACAACAACTACGCTTTTCAACGTGACATAATAAATAGAATAGAACAGTGTCCTATTTAAGCCCGATTCAAACTCCTTTTGAACCTCTTGTTTCCGGTTTAGGATTCTATTTCCGGTTTCTTCTAAGATTTTCGTTAATGGCGTTATCACATTGCTTGGTATGAACTGATTTTAAAAAAAAGAGTTTAAGGGAAATTTCAGTCAAATAAACAGACTTTCAAACTTGCGTCTGCCTCACTTTCGGGATTTCAGCGCTCAGATTTTAATGGCGCCTAAATGGAAATGGAATCTGGATTAGGGAACAACCAAATGTATGAAAGAGGAAAAGAGAGAGAAAATATGAGGAAATATTATCAAAAGGAAAGAAGTGGAGTAAAAAACACACCAAAGAAGAAAAATTTAGAGAAAAGAAAACTGGGGTTGTTGGGATCTGTGAAAATACTGAGGAATATGGTGGTGATTTGAAGTCACACACACATGTATATATATATATATATATATATATATATATATATATATATATATATATATATATATAAAGTGTGGCTGGTCCTGCACAAGGCCTTCACCACTATAAACAAATCTCATGTGCCGGTGTCGGGATGTCGGTTCCTGGGGACTTATCGGCCTGACCCTCATACGTCGAACGCGACGGGAGAGTCGATTATATATATATATATATGTGTGTGTGTGTGTGTGTGTGTGTGTGTGTGTGTGTGTGTGTGTGTGTGTGTAACAGATTTGCTTTGGGAGGTGAGTGTAATACATTTATCCGACCGCACAGGTGTTAAATTGGTACTATGCAGATGACACAGATACTACGTTATTAATCCAGTTATTTTTATATGGACAACAACAACAATATCAATAATAATAATAATAATAATAATAATAATAATAATAATAATAATAATCTAATTTATCTCTATTGAACAAGAAACAAATGTATCAAATAGAGGGTATGACCTGCAAATTTCAGCCTAAAGCCTAAAGGAGAAGAAAGAAAGAAAACAGCAGTACTTCGCTTGAGAACGAAACAAATAAAGAGGCGAGGGTGAAAGAATAGAAACAATTATAAATAATGAGGAAGAAAGCGATAGTCTATAGGGGAGAAAGATGTAAGTAAAAAAACAAAAGTTCTTGAAATCGAGAGAGGGTAAATAACCTTGAAGAATGTTTAGACATATGACTACTCTTACGCGATTTAATGGCGTTGCAGACTAGTGTGATCATCCTTCTAAAAAGCAGTATATGACTTAAATGAATAAAGACTAAATATTATTTCTTGCATTGTTCTCTTTCCGAAATCTATTGAATGTCCAACCCGGAGAAACAGAAGAAAGTCTCATTCGACCCATTAATAAACCTGCAACAATAAAATCCAGATATTGTTTATGAGTAATTCAGTGAATATTCCAAAGTATAATAAAGTTGAAATAGTATTTCATCTTCGGTCGCTTCAGCCATGTCTGTTTTCTAAATTACACAGCAAGAAGATTTTTTAATGGCCTTTTATAGATTTTCCTCTTCTGTAGGGAAGTTTTATATTCTAATCAATCTGTCTTTTAGCTGGCACAAAAATAAATGTCGTTTTTCGAACATCAACCAATAGAAAAAATAACACTCTGTTCTAGAAAGCCAGATTTAATGAAAATTATTCTTTAAACAGTTTTTTTTTTATTACCTGGCCTACGATGATTGATTTTCATTTGTTTATGTCAAATTTTTCTACGAGTTCCTGTTGTACGATACTCATTTTCACTCGAAGCCTGTAATGCGTTGTCATCTAAACTTAATGTCCTCCATGTAAGGAGACGATCGCCTATGTCTCAGAAGTAAATTTGACCAAGGAAATTAAAAATGACATATATACTTTTATATTAGTCTGTTAATAGTTTGAGCTTAGGATCAAGAAAATAGTTTTATGATAGGCTCCGTGTAAGTGTTCTCTCTCTTGTTCTTGTAACGACATTCACCCGAGGCGGGTTGAGCAGGCTCCAATATTGGAGTTTCATGGGAATTTGGAATTCACAAGCGGTCCCCAACCCGCATGTATAGCATATGAGATTTGATTATAGTAGTGAAGGTTTCGTGCAGGACCATCCACACTTTTTGAAGGGCCAATTAAAGAGACCTGGTGCACTACGTGTCACAATGTCCTCAAACGATCCTCCGCAGGTTTTGAATTCAGAGTTTTTCCTTATCCTAGACCAGTTGCCATCCAAGGCTATAGAACCCAGTCTGTCCTGCTATTTACCCATAGCTGAAGAAGAGGATTCACATCTTTCCCAAGGGTATTAGCACGACTGGACTCGACTCGACTGGAATGGACTTGACTGGAATTCGAACTCGGCTCTCCGATTCCTCAATCCAAGCCGCTATCCATTACTCCACCGTGCCTCCTATGTCATTATACTGTAACTTACAATTCTTTTTGGCAACTTTAAACTTGTAATACATAATCATGTATCGGCATATTGATTGATTTGTGTTTGTTTTTTACGGCTATCAACCTTTTGCAAGTTATTTAAGGCCTGAATTTTTTTTAGACTACAAGAGTTTTATTTGGAGATACAATTCCTACTGATTAACCCATAGCTGGGGGAGACGAGATGGATTCATATTTTTTTCCCAAGGATATAGTTAATATAACGAATAATTGGAACTAGGTTCTCCGAATTCCAGTTTCACCCGCACATTCAAACTTACGAAGTACGTGGTATTCCCAATTCGGTCACCCATCTAGGTACTGACAAGGCTCGAAGTTACTTAATTTCGGTGATCGTACGAGAACTTGTGTCTCAACATGATATGGCCGTAAGCATGTGTTGGTGTAAGTAATACTGTTATCAATGGAGATGTTAATATTGCGAAAATAACATTTTTTTTAATTATTTTCCCCATGATAGGGGATATAACCAGCTCGTTTTGTATCAAACTCTTTTACAGTGATTCTGTATGAGAACATGTATAAGATTTTTAATGTTGGCCCCTCTGATGTGTAAAGAACTGCAGCCTAACTCAAGGTGCTGTTGTTGGGGTTACTGGAGCAATTAATGGATTTACTACCTGACGCTAAACCGGTTTTGAATCCAGAGTTATTATTCTCCTAGAGTGATTGCCAATCAAAGCTACAGAGTTCAGTCTGCCTGTTGACTTCCCTATGAAGTATAGGACCACAGCCTTCCGAAACTAGTTGTCGCTACAGTGGTTTCATTAACATGCTAGTTTTTCTACTCTGCTATTAAAATAACTGTTGGAACTTCTAGGTAACCTTGAAATATTTGAGAATTATATTAGAATAAATGTAGAACTTGTAGTGGCAGAAAACCGCCTACATACGAATAGAAAATGAATTCAGTAAATATACAAGTAAAGAAATAATGTGCCTTTTCACCGGACTTCTTCAGCATATAAAATAAGAAGTATCTGAGAGAATTAGAAGTCCTACCAGGATTCATTATCGGCGGTCACAATCTTAGCAGTATAAGATATGGAGATAACACGGCTTTGATACCCGACACAGAAATGAAATTACAAGAATTCCTACAGAAGGTAGGGGAGGAAAGCGAAAAGAAAGGGATGAACCTCAATCGAAAGAAGACAGAATATATGATAGTCAGCAAATGGAACAGGCCAACATGCAAATTAAAAACTGGAGATGCCAACACCAAGCAAGTATAACAATTTAAATATCTGGGAAGCATTTTAACAAAGGACAGAAAGAGGAACAGAGAAATCTGAAGATGCATTGGGATAGTGAAAGACGCCTTCCAAAAGCTCAGCAAGGTATCAAGAAATAAGAAATTTTCGTTAGAAACAAAGAAAGGAGTATTTAAATTGCTATGTAATATCGGTCCTCATATATGGAAATGAATGCTGGACAATCTCATTACAGATGAAGAAGAGACTTGAAGCAAGAGAAATGGGGTTCTACAGAATGATGCCGTGTGAGCAATGATGAAGTTTTAGGGAAAAAGGAAACAAAAAGGATACTTACACTTCATTGAAATTTCTAGGGCATATAACGAGGAAAGTCGGCTTGAAAAATTTGACACTAAAACAGTGCCTGACTTACCTAACGAACTTGTCTAAATATATGGCAGAACAGGGTTTCGAAGACAGCAAAAAGACAAAATTTGCTAAGAGATACAAAGGATAGGAAATTGGGAAGAGCCATGATCACCATCCTGATAGGACATGACGTATAGAAGAAGACGAAGATTGACATTTCTCTGAGGGAAGAAAAGATGGCTTCATACTTTTTCCAGTAGTGTTTTGTGCGAAGGCAAAATATACACTAAGCTAGTTTGTAATTTGGTCAATTGGAGAAAAATGCCCAAACTTTTCATTACTAAAATGCTATATATCTTATTTCACCATCGTTTACTGGAAAAAATAAAAATAAAAACATATATTATATTGGTGAGTAAGAATTGTTTTTCGTCGTCCTTTTTACACATTTCAATCTAATGAAACTAATGGCCATGTATAAGATCGAATCTTACTCAATGGAATTTTTAAGAAAATCGATCTTAAATATGTATCTTTATGCACAAGCATGGCGCTTATTTCCTATGAAAAATTGTTTACTGCTTAAATTGGGCTAGGAACAAAATTTTATATATCATCGTGTAGGAAAATAGTGATCAGAATAGATAGATAGATAGATAGATAGATAGATAGATAGATAGATAGATAGATAGATTAAACATATCTAAGTATAGGCTTGTATATATGCATGCATCATTATATATGTATGCATTTAATGAATATATATATATATATATATATATATTGTGTGTGTGTGTGTGTGTGTGTGTGTGTGTGTGTGTGTGTGTGTGTGTGTGTGTGTGTGTGTGTGTGTGTTAAATTCCCAGATCAACTCTGTGGACAAGACAAATTGGTATAAGATGACAATTGGAAAATTCTTAAGAATTGATCTGGGAATTTAAGTATACTGTGAACATGGAAAGAAAAAAAAAATTCTTAGCATAAAGGAAATTTACGTTAACCAGAAAGAGGCTTATGCAGAAGCATCTCCCTCTTTTTTAAGTTTGGATTTTTAATGTAACTATAACAACAAAAAAGTCGCAAGACGAAACGCGTCGACAAAATTATTTTTCCAAATGTCATCTTATACTATATATATGCATATATATAAATAAATCAGATCATTCCAAAAGATCGTGATCAATTCCGATTGTTAATATAAAATGAATGCATTTTGACACTGGGATGTTTGTTTTGGTACCGAATTTTGGCGTGTTCTACATTGAAACCTTGCATCGTTCAGTTTCGTCTCAGGCTTTGTTGAATGTCGACATTTTGTGCACGAAAAAAGATAGAGAACGAAAAGTGGCACTTTCATCATTTTATACTCGAAATTTTCGAATTTCGAAAAGGTGTAAGCGTCAGAATTGTGACAAAAAATATTCAGAAGATTTATTTGGATCATGCTCCAGCTCTTCGAACGGTGAAAACGTAGTTTGGCAGATTTCATCAGGGTGATTTTAACCTAAAGGATCAATAACGCTGGAGGCAATATTCTAATATCAATAAAGACGCTCTGCTTGCCATCGTCGAGAATAAACCGAAGATTTCTATGAAAGAGATTGCTAAGAGTTTGAAAATTGATATCTCAACTACCTTTCGCCATTTGAAGAGTCTTCATTTTCAAGCTTGACACGTGGGTATCACACTCTGAAAAGGAAAAGAACAAATTCGATCGTGTTTCTCTGGTGATTTATTTGCTGTTACGCGACGAAAAGGAGTCGTTCTTGGACAGAATTGTCACCGGCAATGAAAAATGGATCATTTATGATAGCGTTCCGTAGTTTTCTTTCTCTCATGCTCATTACCAACCATAGCTAGAGAGCGCTGTCAGCCCTTCTATTTAACCCGTCGCTGAAAGTAGATGGGTTTCTACTAATGGCATTAATGCAAAGAGAAGGAAACAAAATCGATTGTAATTATATATATATATATATATATATATATATATATATATATATATATATATATATATATATATATATATATATAGTTTGTGTTGATTTCTATGCTCACACACTTTATATATACATACACTATATCTGCAATATTGACTTCTTTTCCTCAATAAATATACCAAATTTCAGACAGTACATATATATGTGTGTCTGTGTGTGTGTCTGTGTGTGTGTTTGTGTGTGTCTCTGTGTGTGTGTGTGTGTGTGTGTGTGTGTGTGTGTGTCTCTGTGTGTGCGTGTGTGTGTGTGCGTGTGTGTGCGCGTGTGCGTGTGTGTGTGTTTGTGTGTGTCTCTGTGTGTGTGCGTGTGCGTGTGTGTGCGTGTGCGTGCGTGTGCGTGTGTGTGCGTGTGTGTGTGTGTGTGTGTGTGTGTCTTAGATTGTACATTTAACAGCGTCTACTGTAAGCTTTAAACTTTATAATTCAAAAAACGAAGGATTTGCGGTGATTTGGTGCGAGTGACCCGCTCCCAAAGTTTGTAAAAGTCTTTTTGATACACCCTGGATAGCATTTAACCATAGTGTTCTCAGACAACAGATTAATAAGCAACATAAAAATCATAGCAAGCTTAGACAGCTACTCACAAACAATACTAAAATCCTAGCAAAATCAACTATTAAATAAGTAATGCCCATTCATCAAAAACAATCATCAATAAATAAAAACAATTATGACGTAAAAATCAACATCCTTAAATGCATATATAAAAACACCTTACACGTTGGTTACGTCACAACACTCATTGATTTTACGATTTTAGATTAGAAAATGCGTCCGGTGCACTTTTATCACATGACTTCTAACGTTTAACCACTAATAGCTTATTTTTTTTTAAAAAGTGTCCTGTCCCCATTTCTAAAATGTTATTAAACACAAATGTTTGTCCCTACCTACCCAGATTATGACTTAGGAAAACCGAAAGCTTGGACCACATTACTTTGCACAATTCTTAATGGAATTTCGTAATTTGGAAAAAAACGACCATTAAAATGATTCGACATTATATGTCTATCGTTTCCAATCGTATTTGCTTTAAAGAATATTTGCTGCCTAAATACACAGAATACACATACACACGCACACACACAGATATATATACAGAGAATGTCTCATATCGAGAACATTTCACATTGAACATGAAGAAAAATTAATTATTTTTAATAATATGTAGAAATCTCCACTTTTACCTGAAGACGGTCGCGAGACCAGAAACACGTGTCGTAGTAAAATTATGTAAAACAAAGCATAATATTTTTTCTAAATAAATCCACATTACAACCAAAAACGTTTGCGGCACCTCTCTTCTTTTTTTAATATACATACTTTTCTCTCGTTGGAACCACTACAACATATTTCTCTTATATATATATATATATATATATATATATATATATATATATATATATATATATATATATATATATGGCACCTCAAGGCGGTGTAATGGTTAACAAGTTTGTCTCGCTAGAACAATTGCGACTGAGTAGTGAGCTCGATCCACATTGGGTGTCCCCTACTTTCGGCCTTGTGCTACATCTAAGTTATGCTTGGAAATTCTCTATACACACACACACACACACACACACACACATATATATATATATATATATATATATATATATATATATATATATATATATATATATGTATGTATGTATACGCTCCCGGAAAATTAGTTTCGGTTGAGCACTCTGGAGAAAAGCGCGAATTTGTAAACAGTGACTACTACTGCTGATAATGCAAAGCTCTTCACTAAATTGAACCCTCTCGGTCACTGGCGTGTTCATTCAAAGAATAAATACGCAAACATT